CTTCTCCTTCGTCAACAACCACTATTTATTCCTGGCTTGTTTCTTCATTGTTGTGTTGTCCATCATGCTGTACCTGCTGCGGCTGCGTCGCATCCACCGGCGCGCGGCACAGCACTGCACCCCCTCCTCTGTGCCCTGGCTGGAGGAGGGTCTCGGCTCGCCCACAATCCCCATCACTCTCTAAAAGTCTTGACAGGATGTGACTTTCCAAAGCAGATCTCCTTGAGCTGTTTGCTTGTTCGTGAGCGTTTGAAGTCTGCTTGCAACAGAGATTGTAGTACAAATTGGACATATGAGGAAGATCTTACATAAGTCTTCCGGCTTACCTGAGCCATGAAAATATTTTTGTTATTTTGTTTAATTATGACGTGTTTTTTCATCCACGTTGTTGCCTGTTCTTGTCTCCAGGTGTTTTCCTATTCATGTCCGAACAAACACAACGGTTCTTTGCTCACTAGCAAATGTGGAGTCTAAACTTTGAATTACACAAAAGTTGGACATATTGGACATTTGCCTTTATTTATGCCTTTGATTTGTATGATCATATCTATTTTTGTTGGTTTCTTTTATAGTTGGTTTATGGTACAAGCACTTGCCATTTCTACAGGAAACTCAAATGCAATCCAATCTATAATTATCAGAAAGAGGGGTTTGTAATGCAGTTGAGAAACACATCCCATCTGGAATGGTCTTTTAGTTTTTTCCCCAAATGTTTCCTTCTCAACAGGACAAGTATCCTTTATCGCTATACTAGTGCAATACATGTCTTCTCACTGTTGGGAAAAGCTCCAAAAACGTCTTTTTTTTTGAGAAAGAGAGAATACATCTCTCCGAAAGCCCTGCTGAAATTCTTATGTTGGGTCATCGGACTTTTAACGTCGGATACCGTGGCATATATTTACGTTGGGCTTCATTTTCAGAAGCTGTCATATCACTGCTGTGAGGGGATTGTAAATGTAAGCACATGCCCCATTATTTATACGAATACGGTCTGTAGTGTAATGTTTGCACAGATGAATGCGAAATAAGTGTTGTCACATTGAAATTCAGTAATAAAGGATTTATGGTATGTATGGTTGTTTTTTCAAAAGGAGATCAGACTAAAACAACACTTGTCTATTTCTTGGTAGTAAATCTAATATTTGGTGGTGGTTGTTCTATACATATAAGGTAAAACATCGCATTTAGGAGTACTGAAATACTTTGAGTAATTTAATTGTACAAGTTTGACATTCTTTAGATCACATGTGTCAAACTCAAGGCCCGGGGGCCAAATCAGGCCCTTGGTGGATTTAATTTCGCCCCGCAGGATAATTTCTAATTACTATTAGATCTGGCCCGCCGGTATATTGCACGCACACCTTCACTCAATCCTGAGGGTCTCCTCAGCTCAGAGCCTGAGCCCAAACATTGATGACCTTGCACCCAAGATGAGATGCCAAGTATCTGCTTGAACTAGCATCACAGAGCAGCAACCTGAGTTTAATGGATGTTTCCTTCTACACTTTTTTTTCTTGAGACAACCGGGAGTGTTTGTTTTGTTCTTTGAGGGGAATAGTTTTGTTGAAGCTGTTGTTGGCCTGTGGAAAAATGTAATCATAAGAAATGACTCCGGAAAAGCTGCAGATAGAGCCATAAGAAATTAATGCAACTGATTATTTCATGTTTAATGTTTTTATAGGCAATAATTTAAGCTTTGTTAGTTCCAGGTTTAATATGTGCAATGAGTTCATTTCAATAAGTTTTGCAATAAACATTGAACCAGTCCGGCCCTCGACTAGTACCCATTTTTTAATTTTGGCTCACTGTGTATTTCAGTTTGACACCCCTGCTCTAAAGTAATTGAAGAGACACACTTTAAACACTAAGTTAGGATTTGTTTTTATGTTTGTATTAATTGGACAAAAAAGATTGTTATATTAATTACTTCACATTTTCTTAACATTGTGTATTTGTGCTTACATTTGATATGCACTACAACTTCCTATCATTTCCTAATAACAATATTTTTTTTCTGAGACACATATTATATGTATGATTAAATATATTGAAAAAACAGTACACATGCCCAAAGTCTAAATATGTATAATAAGAACAATGTTCTTTTTAGCCAAATCAAATAAATATATGTATTTTTCTAATAAAGCATATTGAGTAATGGGGAGGCCGGCACAAAGTATAGGTTTCAGAAAGCTCAAGTCACAGATGGCATTAAAGTCTCGAAAGGTCCTAAAAAACAGAGTTAATCCCCGACAAAATCTGCTGATATGATGTTGCACAAAACAAACACTGGTGCATACCTCTTTTAAACCCTGAGGAAAGGTCACACCTTGATTGGCCAAGAGGGGAAAGTGCATCACTAATTTCCCACCAGTCCCAACCACCTTGCACAACAGCATACAACTAAAGAGTGTGACATTTAGCTAAAATACATTTGAGAAAACGTCAATAAAAAATACTTAAAGGTCCCCTATTATGCAAAATCCACCTTTTCTACATGTGTCCCCTCTGTGTAAAGAGATTCTCTCTCTTTTGGTCCTGATCCATTTCTATAAAAACCTGTCTGAAAATGAGCTGATCAGATTTTGGCCACTTTGTGATGTCATAACGATTTTTTTGGCTTGTGTAACCATTAGCCAATCACTAACCAAGGTAACCCCCCCCCCACCTTATCACCTGAATCTCCTCCTAGAGCACCATTGTGTTTTTTGTAATCAAATCTCTCTCAGAGGGGCGTGGGGAGGGGCTCCTCATTTTCATCTAAAGTAACAGACAGAGAATCAGCACTTTGGAAACTGGGCTGAAACAGAGGGGATTATGGGTAATGCTGCAATGATCTGTTTGGTGTTTGGAGCCAAACACTTCAGAGACATGTTTGTATATATCTGAGACCTATAATATATTAATGAAAAAGTATAATAGCGGACCTTAATGCTTCTCTCTGACTATAGTTTCCCTATTGGACAAGTGAACAGGACTCTATCTTGCGCTTCGAGATTTGTAAGCGCTTCGAGATTTGTCTTGGCAGATGAGAAGGGCTATATAAATTAAATTGTATTATTATTATCTGTAATAAAACATACTCTGACAGGTGGCTCTTTAAGATGCAGGCTCCTATAATGCTGAGTCACTGATGTGTAACACAGTTATCCGACACACCCACAGCGGCACTGCAGTAGGCTCAGGTTTCAATGGTGAGTTAACCAGGATATATAAAGCATTTATTGAATCAAAGGCTCAGATCTCTCTCTGTGGTGGAATAAGTAGAGTGGATTATCACTGAATTCCTATTATGTTGTGGTTGAATCTGCTGATATCTTCAACAAAAACTAGCATCTTGTTGATGGTAAAGTTGAAATGTAAACTATTGGCCTGTAACAAGAAACCGGACGACACAGAAAGGAAATCCTCAGTATAAATTATTAAGAATAAGAGATGTGATGAGAACGTTGTACAGACATTTATTCAGCCACTTTAAGATAATTCGTTTTTAACAAACTATTTGAAACAGAAAATGTAATTCACTTGCACCTTTGCAGCAGCATTATGTACATGTTTAAAAATGTAATGATAATGTTATTTTAAGGAGCTGAAACTTAGAAACAGAAGTGCACCCCTTGTTCCCTTTTCCTTATTTGTTCACATGGCGTGTAGGGATGATTCGTGCAGATCAGTATGTTAAATTAAGTAGGGTTACAAGTGAGTGGGTGTTGTGACGTGGTTGTTGCATAAGCTCACTTATTATTTTTAACTTTTTCTTAATATTTATTTCCCATGACTGTAGAGTCAATTGTCCAGAGAATGAATGTGGATTAGAACCTTTCCCCAAAACAAGAGGCAGATGTTAGTGGGTGTTACTGAGTCATGTGGTGTGACATTTTTTTTTTTAACTGTTCAGATATTTCACACCAAGTGGTTTCAAAAAGTCCTTTTGGATAATCCTTAAAAATAATAATCTCTTAACCATTGTTGCATAATCCTTCCAAAAAATACAGGTTGCTTGAACAAATGACCAGACCACAGTCCTTTAACCATTGATTAGAAACGTTATATGGTGCTGCATTCCTTAAAACAAGCAACAACAACAACAACAACAACAACAACAACAACAACAACAACAACAACAAACTACTATGCAATTCAAGTGACCAGACAAATAACAACTAATATAAATTAAATATATTTAAAAGTAAGATTTCTGTCATGTCTGGTCCTTTTTGGAGGATATACTTTACCCCAGTGCTGGAAACTAACTCTAGAAAACGTATGACTTTTTGCCCCCAAAATGTATTTGCGCAGCTTTAGTTAAGTTGCATGTTTTTCAGATTTTATTTGTAATAAGATCAGTTAATAAAATTGGATGCACTATTCTTGATAACATAATCAGACAATACACATTACAATAGTTGTTAGAATGTAATTCATCTCGACCAACCAAATATTAAAAACAGGTTAAAATGTTAATGAATCAGCAACAAAAATCCAATTTAGCCTTTTATTAATATGACTTTTGAACATAATTAATAAAGCTAGAGTACTTAGCCTATTAGTAATATTTGGTGACAAACCCTCTCTTCTCTTAATTGTTTTAAACATTGAAGCACGTGTAGGCTACTTGAAATACAATACTGTAAAGTGGGTCATTGCTAGGCTACTTAACTTGCCTGGGGATCTGAATATTTACATATCGTTTTTACTAGCAGTCATAACTATTGCCTATTCAATTGAGGATCCGTCCTTATGAGTAAGGGGAGTTGCAGGTCATCTATAGTGAAAACAAACTGCCTGATAAGGGGACCAAACCTATTTATCTATTCAAGCAGGACTATGAGATTAACACTTTTGACAAACCCATTCAAAAACAGAGACAATCAGGGATGCACAGCAGCGCAGTGAATTGTCAGAGGAATCCACCACGGGAAGTTTTAATTGGACGCCTCGAAACAAGAGCCCGCCCATATCCTACATCTGATTGGTCCATAATAATCTTAGCCACGCCTCCGATTTGGGGACGTCACACGGGCGCTGGAACTCCAGTAAGTAGCGATGATGTTGTGGTTATCCATGCTGCCGACTGCTCTCTGAGTGTTATCTTGTGGAGAATACGGACGGGGGAGATCTCTCCACGCATGGAGTTGACCTCGGACCAGGTGGTGGCAGCTCTGGACATGTCGCAGGTCAAAAGCAAAGAGGACGATGAGCCTTTTGATAGTGACGGGGACTACGAGAGCTTGCCACCTCATGTCTCAGTGGCGACCCACATGACAGCAGGAGCCGTGGCGGGCATCCTGGAGCACACGGTGATGTACCCCGTGGACTCTGTCAAGGCAAGCTACACACACAGCTAATCACATGTGTTTTGCTTTTACAACTACTAGCTACAAAGGGCTGCTAATTCACAACATGCTATCGGTTGCTAACCAGCGTTAGCAACCATATGCCCATCCTTAGTTAGCCTTAGCTAATATAAGCACGCCTGCATGCTTGCTTCAACTGAACAAACTAGTTGAGCAGGCTAGCATGAATTAAATGGTAATACAATTAGCCACACCTAGCAGTTTTACTAGCCGTCTGTCTGGGTGTAACTTTGCTAACATAACATAATTAATTTGTCACATTTAAGCATGTCTGACACACATTTCTTCTCATTTTAAGCATGAGCTCGTTTTTCTGTGTATGGTGTAAACGGGTTAACATGTTCGTTACCCAGACTTGCCCCTATTACTCTTACGTAGTGAAGGTCATGTAACGGACTCGGCTGTAAAACATGTCAGACTGCCTTAACATTCAAACCACATATATGACCTCGAGATATCTACAATCTAAAAAGGTCAACACTGACCTTTACAATGTTGCTAAACCCCTCAATTGCTGTTTCAAAGTATACTTCTGTGGCAACTCATATATTCATTGACCAGTAAACATAAGTCAACTGCCTCTCTGTTGAAGTCCCCATTATTAGAAGATAACATCTACATTATAAATGGTCTCGATAGCTTTTCTATTATGATCAAGACATTTGTTTTGCTTTTTGGATGAGATTGAGTTTAATTGTCATTGCTTCCAGTGAGTATCAGTGCAACACAATGCAGTATAGTATCCAACCAAGTACTGCAAACAGAGGTTACATGTTTATGAAACATTTCATTATAATTGTATTGTTTTCTTAAAAATGAAACTGAAACTCCTTCTAACTTCAGCTCTGTGTGAACTGGGTTGAGAAAATGTGTTCATTGAATGCCATTGTTCAAGTTTATGTAACTGAATTAGATGTTAGACTAGTTTTAATCTTGTTAAAAATTAGCAAAGTAAATCGTAAACTGTTGGTTTGAATGTGAACTTTGCTCCTACAATTCTCTTCTTCTGCTCAGCCCCTGTTTCCTAACGATTAGCTTGATGTAGCACAGAAAACTTCATTAACATAATGAAAGAAAAGAGAGAGAGATGATATTCGTTTCAGTGTCAAAGTCTTTCCAAATGAACCCATGTGCCTATTACTCAAACCACTATTTCCTTTTTAAAGTTTCCAAGTTTACACAAGCACCTTCCAGCTGAAGGTACTCATTCAGTTTGATCAGTGCATGTCTGGAGTTGACAAATAACCTGTTTTGCAATTTCTGTGTATTAAAGCTGATGAATAATTAAGAATGGTTCCTATTTTCCATTATTTTGTCAGCTGCAATGTAGTATAGAAAACACCTTGCATAAAAGGCATAAGAGTCCTCAATGCATTTATTTCCAGTCTGTGTTTCATTAATGAATGAATTGATGTTTCACATAAGAGACAGTAAGAGAACTGGGCGATATATTGATAGTATATCCATCTTGTCATTTGAGATTAAGACAAGATGTGTGTCATTTTGGATATTTGGACGTTGAACAATAGCATGTTGTCTTTTCCTGGTTGTAAAGGTTGAATTACAGTCAAGTGAGGAAATATCCTGAGCTTACACGTTTTACCGTTACCCACTCTATAAACCCATTTCTGATGGTAAATGATCACAATCTTATTAGGTAATAAATCGAATGGTCAGGTCTACACTATCGTCACAATATCAATATCGAGGTATGCCAGCTCTAACTTGAGTTTAGCCCAATGACTGGTTTTAATAAGACCGGGTCATCAGTGGATAGTGCTAACAATCCACTGAACCTGTCCACCTCTCAGTGAAAAAGGAGATGCAGCGACAGGGAGTGTCGATGAAAGGAGGGGATCTTATCGTTGCTGTGCACATTGGGAATCCGCCTCTCTCAGTGAAGGGTGTGTGTACGCAGTAACTCTTCTGCAGTGTTGATTAGGAAACCGCCATAAGGACAGGACTGCTGAAGATGTGCTATGTAGTGGATGGGGGTGTCCTTTTTTAGGTATGCTTCAATGGTTCTGTTATCACTGTCCAACTGTGGGCCAACATATTCATGCAGAAAGAGCACAAGGGGTTCTTTTGAGAGCCTAATGAAAATATACTCTGCATCATTCTTCTGAAGTTCGGCCTGTACTACGAAGTAGTATTTGCGGTTAGCGAGCTAACTTCAGGGTTAACTCTGGGTTTCCGGTCCTACGACGCTGGTTCTCTTCTTACCGGTGTAGATCTCCATGGTAACTTATGCTGAACACCAAACCTGCTCTGGAGATCAACTCAGTGAAAGCACCGCCTGCTGACCAATCAGAGCTCAGTGTGCAGAGTTTAAAGCTATCAAGTAATATTACAGGAAAAAAGGATATACAGTTTAAACTGCCGTATGCACAAACACATTAGGTTGGCGAAACACTAGTCAAATGCAATTTAAAGTCAGGTCCACTCATGTTTTAGATGGGGCAGTAATATCATAATTGGTTAATGTATGCATCAAACACTGTCGTTTTGTTGTTGTTGTTGTTGTACCAGCTGTTCTGTATTCACCTTGCAGGTGAAACTATGTGGCTTGTATCCTGGATAAGGTGTTTAAGTCATGGATGTTTAAAGTGTAACTTCTTCATATTTGCTACCCCCGCCCCTTTCATGTGAACGTGCTCTCAGCCGGACAGAGAAACCCTGGCTTGAGTTACCGAGTTGATAACAGCGTCGTAGAACCGCTTAGCGAGATCACGTTTGTTAGGGTTAGTTAAGCCAGATAACTCAAACATATCCAGGGTCTGTTGAACTGGATTCGTAGTACAGCGCACAGGACTATTTTTTTTTTTTAAGTTCTCTCTCAGTTCCTTAAAGTCTTATTTTAGACCACTTACACCCACGTTTGAATACTTACTTACTGAATGATGTAAGCTAAGCATTTTTGGAATCTTCAGCTTTTTATTCTATGCATTCTTGGTTGTTTTTACCCCAACAGTCATTATTAGCATGGTTTGTATTCGGAAAATAAGGTAAGATTGGACGTACAGATATAGGATGCATTTGACACAATTAAAACAATTTATCACCTGTTTTCATTTCCATAATCATGTCAGCCAAATATTTTATTTTTAATAAATGTAAGTGTCAGTGTCAATGCAAGGAGCAGCATGATTGTTCTGTAAGGAGGCAAAAAGTGGTAGTGTTAGCTTTTTTAAAACCATAATGAAAAGATTTTTTTCTAATCAGTAACACATTTAGATGTTCACTTAACCATTGGTTCATGTCTAGAACGGCCCGTCCACACAGCGGCGTGCGTTGACGCTTGCCGGCGGGCGTGTCTGACACTCGACCAACAACCAATCACATGAATCTCCCGCCCCAGACACACAAGCACGCGGTTTGATTGGCTAGAGCTTGTACTGGCATATGATTCGATTGGCTGACTCCTCCGTCGAGGCGTCAAAAGTTGAACATTGCTCAACTTTTGAAGCGAGCAACGCCAGCAACGCTCCACGTCGCTTCCCAAAATGCAGTTCGGCTAAAAGTGACGTCACCCCATTCAAAGTGAATGGGCAGAAGCGTTGGAAGCTTCAACGCACGCCGCTGTGTGGACGGGCCGTAAACGTTGACTTCAAGCTTAGGTCTTGGTTCTAAGACAACGTACTTATTATTATTATTATTATTGTCTAAACAAGATATTTTATTTATCATAAGGCATTGAGTAGTTCATAATAAAAAAAGAGCTCTGATCTGGAATACAGTTGGAACTATTCGTGGTTTACTTTGTACCCACTCAGTGAAAAATACCCTTGAGATAATTTCTAGATCAACAGATTCTGCAGCTTTTCATTGGCCTTAATGTCCAATTGGTCTTCAACAGAACAATGTGATTTAAACCTAAACTGTGCTACCAAGATCTGCGTGCCCCAAATTCCCAAATCTGTATCAAGCGGAAATGTAATTGATATTTTATTGTTGAGCCAAAGGAAGGAAACACATGGGGACATGCTGAGGAAGATAGATGTGGCCTATCTCCTGAGCCAGCCCCAGATATGTTAATATAATAAAAACATGCTTTGTGGTTTTCACATGACTTGGCATGGTTTGGGGAAAACAAAGAGCTGCCACGGCCTCCTCCAGCAGTAGCTTTAGGAGAGACACATATCTCTCAGTCAGGACCTCACTGCTGCCAAGCACTCTTACTGTCAGGAAAATGTGGCAGGGAACAATACACAAAGAAATCATCATCATTTGACATGCAAGAGGTACTCGCCTAAAACCACTCAGAGGCACATTCATACAGAGCCTCGGGTTTAGTATGTTTGCAAATCATTAAAGAGGCCCTGCTTTTTGGGGTTTCCCTTTCCCTTTTTTGGGCATGAAATAAGTCAGCAAAGGCTAAAATCCCAACATTTAGAGGGAGTTTCTGTCCCAAACCAGAAAACTGCTGCAGCACGGGCAGTATGAGGAACAAATAAAGACCTTTTTGAACATTAAAGGGGACCTATCATGCAAAATGCACTTTTTGATGTCTTTTATACATAAATATGTGTCCCCGGTGTGCCAGGGAACTCACGCAGCGTCAGAAAATAAAACCCTCTCTCTTTTCCTCCGTACCCAAATCTCTAAAAACGGGGCTACAACGGAGCTGATCCAGATTTGCGTCCGATATGACGTAATATCAGAAATGTAGGCTGGCTTTACACCCACGGCCCTATCAGAAACAATGCCCGACTGTTTTGGACGTAATATGGTCGGTGTTTACATTAGCATCGCTAACACTCAGAGCTAACCTGTACTGGAGAGCATGTGTGTGAAGAAGCAGGAAATAAAAAGGAACTCACCTTGTGGTATAACCGGCAAGAGAGAAAGCCTTTGAGCTCCAGACTGCTTCAGAGAGAATCCTTGATAATCCATGATATGGCGTTTCATCACTGCAGCATTTAGTTTAGACCAGGGGTGTCAAACTCAATTTAATTGCGGGCCACATCAGCATTAGGGTTGCACTCAAAGGGCCGGTTGTAACTTTAAGACTATATACAAATATATATATATATATATAATGTATTATATTACATCATTACCTCTGCATTGGATTATTATCAGATAGGGTAATAACTTCATCATTAACTACGTCTGAAAGCAGAAGTCTGGGGCAAATAATTGCAAGTCTCTTCAGTGAGAATGTCACAAAATGATTTAAAAAGAAAAGCCAAATTCTGAAAAAAAGTAACATTTATAAAAAAGAGTCAAATTCTGAGAAAAAAGTCTAATTTGAGATGCATTGTGGGACATGTAGTTTATGGGCAACGTGCTTCTGTAAATCGCCATGTAACCGTATAATAAACATAATATTCTTTGCACGCTCTTGTGGGGCCACAGAAAATGAAGTCACGGGCCGGATTTGGCCCCCGGGCCTTGAGTTTGACACCCCTGGTTTAGACGGTATCTGCCGGTAGCATCTCCTGCATGAGCTCAGTCCCCTCCTTTTTCGTCACAGTAGAGACACAAAATACAAGTATGAACCTGAAAATGAGTCACAATGTTTAAAATATCTCTCTTTTTTCAGACACGGATGCAGAGCCTGCAGCCGTCGCCAAACGCACAGTACAAGAGTGTGTATCAGGCTCTGAAGAGGATCATCCAGACAGAGGGGGTCCTCCGACCGCTGAGGGGCCTCAACATCACCATGATCGGAGCGGGGCCCGCACATGCCATCTACTTCGCCTGCTATGAGCGGGTCAAACGCTCACTCAGTGACGTCATGCAGAGCGAAGGCAACAGCCACTTGGCAAATGGTAAATGTTTCAACATCAATATCTTGATATTCGGACCGACTGCTTTCACACTGAGCTAAGTAACAACGCCTGGAGGAGGGTTGTGGGATAAGTCATTATATCCTGTTTACAACGGAGAGGATAAAGTCATCCAAATATGAAACATCCAAACATGCTATCTGGGATGTGCTAGTACCAACCTTTTTTTCATGCATTCAAACGGCTCAAACAAATAATTCACTTGTACTGAATAAAGGCTCAAATTTGTAAAAAATGTACTTGATGTTAAAACGCTTGTAACCAAAGTCATTCATTTAGACAATGTGTGTTTGTTTCACCAGGTTTGGCAGGTAGTGTGGCCACTGTTCTCCACGACGCCGTCATGAACCCAGCTGAAGGTAAGACAAAGGGTTACTCTATAGGTCTATGTGATGCACGATTATAAATGCATTAGAAACATTCAAATACAAGTCATCTTCTAGTATTACAATTTTTTTTTTGGTCGAAACAAAGAGCTTATTTATCTTTTTAAAAGCCTAAAAATAGCTATTAAATTGCATATGGGAAATAATATTAAAGTTTACCTATTATGCAAAATCCCCTTTTTCATGTCTTGTGTGTATATAAGCGTTTGAGCACCAGGAAAAGCACTTTATAAATGTAATGTATTATTATAAACGTGTGTGTGTGTCCCCTCTGTGTAAAGAGATTCTGAAAGTTTCAGGAAAAAAGATTCTGTCTCTTTTTGTCCTGATCCATTTATATAAAAACTAGGGCTGTCAAGTTAACGCGTTAATGCACTTTTTTTTGTTAACGGCACTAATTATTTTAACGTGCGATTAACGCATGTGTATTTGTCCTCGGCCCACCCCGTAGTTTCAGAGCCCAAAGGCTTGACGTTGTTGTTGTTAGTTGGATGGTGGGAGAGGGGTGCTAGTGAACTGTCAACGGGGGGAAAGCCTCGCTGCGGGGAAACGGCGTACCTCTGTCGGCGCAACTTCGATGAGGTCGTTTAAAAACATAATAAAGTAAGGGCGGTGCCGGCCGCCAGCGAACCGAGCCGGCCGTCAACGGTACTTGACGACCGGCCGTTCTGTGGTTCTCCAGATTCTACAGACGGCCAGTCCGCCCCTGCTGACAGCCCCACTCCTGCCGCTCTCTCGCGGCAGACCACGCTTGAAAGTTTGCCAGGGAGACGTCTGGACAACAACAGCGATAGCTAAATGGGTGGCTACAGCTTAACATTGTGGAGGACGAGGGGCTGCGTTAGATAATTCGGATCGCATCCAACATGTCGACTGCACTTCACAGCGCTTCAGAACTTCAGTCATGCTTTGGCTGAAGATGAAGACAGAGGAGCGGCATTTAGCCGACAACTGTAAACAGGCTTGTCTGTTTGAGCAACTGGCTCAGTGCAAATAAGTCCCCGGGTTAGTATAGACTTTGCAAGAGCGAGAATAGGAGAGAGCTAGAGATAGACTAGCGAGCGAGCGAGAGCGAGCAGAGAGACAAGAAGAGAGAAAGAGACGATATAGATATCTAGAGAAGCTCGAGATATATGATAAAGAAGAGATCAGAGAGCATCCGACTAGACGCTCTCTCCTCTCTATCTCTCCTCTCTCTCTGCTCTCTCCTCTCCCATAGTCTCTCCTGCTCTCGCGAGCTCCTCGCCTTCCTTCGCGTTCTCCTCTCTCGCCGTCTCTCTCTCTCTCTCTCTGCTCCTCATCTCTCTCCCTCCTCTCTCCTACTCTCTACTCTCTCCTCTCTCTCTCCTCCTCTCTCCTCTCTCCTCGCTCTCTCTCCGCTCGCTCTACTCTCTCTCTCCTCTCTCTCTCCTCTCTCTTCCTCTCTTCTCTCCTCTATCCTCATCCTCTCTAGCCTCTCTCTCTCTCTCTCTCTCCCCTCTCTCCTCTATGCCCTCGTCTCCTTCTCTCTCTCTGCTCTCATCTCTCCTCTGCTCTCTCTCTCTCACCTCTCTCTCCTCTCTCGCTCTATCCTCTCTCTCTCTCCTCTCTCTCTCGACTCCTCTCTCTCCCTAACTCTCTCTCCTCTGCTCTCTCTCCCTCTGCTCTTTCTCTCTCTTCTCATCTCTCTCTATCTGCTCTCCTCTCTTCTCCTCTCTCTCTCTCCTCTGCTCTCTCTCCTCTCTACTGCTCTCTCTCTTCTCTCCTACCTCTCTCCTCTCTCTCTCCCTCTGCTCCTCTCTCTCTCTCCTCCTCTCCTCTCTCTCCGCGCCTCGCGCTCTCCTCCTTCTCCGCTCTCGCCGCTCTCGCGTCTCTCTAGCACTCTCTCTCCTCTCTCTCCCTCTCGCTCGTCTCTCTCTCTCTCCTCTCTCCTCCTCGCCCTGCTCTCCTGCTCTCTCTCTCTCTCTCTCTCTCTCTCTCCTCTCTCTCTCCGTCTCTCTGCGCTCCGCTCTCTCTCTCTCCTCGCTCTCTCCTCGCTCGCTCTCCTCTCTGCCCTCTCCTCTCTCTCCTCTCTCCTGCTCTCTATCTCCTCGTCTCGCTCTTCTCTCCTCACTCTCGCTCCATCATCCGTCTCTCTCCTCTCGCTCTGCTCGCCTCTCTCTCTCTCCTTCTCTCTCTCCTCTCTCTCTTCTCTCTCTTTCTCTCTCTCTCGTTTCTCTCTATTCTCTCTCTCTCCGCTCTCTCTTCTCTCCGTCTCTCTCTGTCTCGCCTCGCGCTCTCCTCTCTCTCTCCACGATCTCTCTCTCTCTCTTCTCTATCTACTCTCTCTCTCTCTTCTATCTCTCTCTCTCTCTCTCTCTCTCTCTCTCTCTCCTCTCTCTCTCGCTACTCGCTCTCTCTCTTCTCTCGCTCTCTATCTTCGGCTCTCTCTCTCTCCTCTCTCTCGCTCTCTCCCTCTCTACTCTCTCCTCTCGCTCTCTCTATTTCTCTCTTCTCTCTGTCTCTCTCTCTCTCTCTCTCTCTCGCTCTTCTCTCTCTCTCTCTCTCTCTCTCTCGCTATCTCTCTCTCTAGATCCTCTGCTCATCTCTCTCCTCTCTCCTCTCTGCTCTCTATCTCTCTCGTCTCATCTCTCTCTGCTCTCTCTGCTCCTCTCGGCTCTATCGTCTCTCCTCTCTCTCTCTCTCTCTTCTTCTCTCCTCTCTCTCACTCTCGCGCTCGCGCTCGCGACTCCTCTCGCGCTCTCTCTCGCTCGCCTGTCCTTTGGTTTCGAATATTCGTTCCGTATAATCTTTGTCACATTGTTTGCACCTTATAAAACCAACCATTTGCATGAAGCATATTTGTCCACTCATATGTTGATAAGAGTATTAAAAAATGGGCGATTCAATTGCGATTAATCGCGATTTAACTATGGACATCATGCGATTAAATATTTTAATCGACTGACAGAAGCCCTAATAAAAACCTGTCTGAAAATGAGCTGATCGATTTTTGGGCCCACTTGATGATGTCATAACGTTTGTTGGCTTGTGTAACCATTAGCCAATCCCACCAGGTAACCCCCCGAACCACCCCCCACACAACCACTATGCCCCTGAATCCCTCCTAGAGCACCATGTGATTATTTTTAACCAAATGGCTTCAGATGGGGCGTGGGGAGGGGCCCTTATTTTCATCTAAAGTACAGACCCGAGAATTCAGCACTTTGAACAGAGGGGATTATGGGTAATGCTGCAATGATCTGTTTGGGTGTTTGGAGCCAAACACTTCAGACACATGTTTGTATATATCTGAGACCTATAATATATTGATGAAAAACAGTATAACAGGGGACCTTTAACACAAGTACTTTTGTCTCTCCATGGCTCAGTGGTGAAGCAGAGGATGCAAATGTACAACTCTCCGTATCGAGGGCTCTGGGACTGTGTTCAGACGGTGACTCGTAAGGAGGGACTGGGGGCTTTCTACCGCAGCTACAGCACGCAGCTCACCATGAACATCCCCTTCCAGGCCGTGCACTTCATGATCTACGAGCTGATGCAGGAGCAGCTGAACCCCCACAGACATTACCACCCCGGCAGTCACATCTTGTCGGGGGCCGCAGCGGGAGCCATCGCCGCAGCGATCACCACTCCGCTGGATGTTTGTAAAACTCTCCTCAACACTCAAGAGAACGTAGTGCTCAGCTCCGTTAACGTCAGCGGACAGTTATCGGGGATGGCCAACACCTTCAGGACAGTGTACCGCCTCGGGGGTCTGCCGGCCTTCTTTAAGGGGGCCCAAGCTCGGATTATATACCAGGTGCCCTCCACTGCCATCGCCTGGTCGGTGTACGAGTTCTTCAAGTACTTCCTGACAAAGCAGCAGATGGAACATGAGGCAGGACCTCGATCTAGGAAATGAAGAAGACTCCAACCTGAAGCGAAAGGAGCTCGCTGTTAGAGGAAAGAAGATGTTGTCACACAGGGAAGTTGGCTGAAACTTGATCACCTTATAGTCACTTGTCTAAGTCTGGGTGTCTTTAAAGTTAGTTGCCCAACCAGGATATGCATCAGAGATGATAAACATAGGAGAGTTCATCTCGTTCCTCGTCCACTCCACAGACGCTCTCCCTCTTCCACATGTGGAGAGCGTATAATAAAGTTGTCTTGAACGATGTTTGTAGTTTTTAATATTGGAACTTCTTATTTATTTAGTTTAGCTTGCAGAGGGTTTTACCGATGCGGAAGAAACTCAACGCTGTTTGTTTTGTTTCACTGTGTATTTATTAACAAAAAACACAACTACACATTCCTCATTTTCATTACACGGCCAACGGAACAGTTGTGCTTTCCAAGTGCCTCGTGATTATGATTCTTTTTTAAAAAACCTTTTTGTCCTTGGTTTTATTTTTCTTGCTTTAAAGGTGGGGTATGCAATTTATTTCAGAAACACTTTTTGTTATATTCCATGGGATGCTCTTAACATCCCGATAGCAATACATATATTAAATGCTTTGACAATAAATACATAACAAAATATCATCTGTGGAAGCCGTGGCGCTGTAAAAAGCACGACCAATCATCTGAGCCGGCCCAGCTAAAGTAACTGGATGGCCTACCTGCCTGTCAGCCTTCCATCTGTGCACACACTTATCTGGTGCCCTCATTGGTCATGTGCTCGTTCCTGTGTGTTGGAGGAGGGGCTCTGTAAGGAAGTGGCACATTTGTTCTATTTTCAAATTCTAGCGCACTCAGCTGGTTTCTCCAAAATGACCTACCCCACCTTTAAGTTTCATCAAAGAAGCTAACTTTTCTTTCCTGAACCGGTCAAATAACCGGTCAAATCTGATCTTGCTAAACTGAATGCTGTGTTGGTTTCTTCCACATCAAAATATCAAATGCCGGTCTGCAGCTGCTCATTTTTTGGGTTACACTTTGATATGCTTTTAAGTGTTTTCATAAAAGCCGTAAAGGGCCATTTATTTGCCTTCTTTTAAAGCAAACAATGCCGCTGACGTACGAACAATAACAGTGTCATTGAAAGAACCATACATGTTGCAGAAAGAAGGCAGCTTGTTTTATATATATATATATTCATAAACAGGATTATATATTTGGAGGATGACTATTTTTCAGAAATGAGATAGCGTCTCTACTTTCACTTGCATTTGATCTGGTGTAATGTTTGGAATTTGTGTGTGTGTCATATTGACTTTAAGGTCATAGATTGTATATCAAATATTTTCAAAATATATCTTTGACTGAGTATAAAGTTCAGACTGTCTGTGATCCATAATGTAACATAATAACTTAACTGTGAGGCACTCTTTATCGCCTTGAGAAGAGGAACAGCTCCAATCCGCAGGCAGGCAACGCTGTTTCTTTTATTCCTGCTCATCCTGTTGGAGTTTCACATGTCCTGTGTGCTCACTGCCTTCTCCAACTATTTTCCACTCAGAAGTCAAGACATTCCTCCAGACATTGATGTAAGCATCCAGATTTATTTGTTTTTAATCAAACAGGCTGTTCTTTCCTTTGGTGAAAGTTCATCGGATTCCAGCGGTCTCACAAACACTTTAGGAGCAGATTGCTTATGTACATTAGTGTACTTATTAATATGCCAAAGACCTGCATTGTATTCTATGCATCTTATTTCCAACATGTCTATATAATGATGTTTGCCTTCCTGCTTATGAATATTCATGCGAACTATTTGCCCCCTAGTTTTGTGTAGAAATCCCTCCTCACTTGAACTTATTTAGCGGCTTTCTGAATGTGTCAGAAATAGACGTCCTATAACCTCCTAAAGTACTTGAGAAAATGTGTTAAATGTTCAATATGTTTGGGGAATAACATGATTATGTGATTGTTATAGACTGATAAAATACTTAATTTCAATATAATTGTGATCTCACATGAATGAATAATGTTTTCTCAATTGGCTTGAATATATAAGTGTATTAATTAGCATAGCTTCATGATGTTTTATTATAATATAAGTGAGTTCACAGTAGGATTCACTAACACAACTCTACTGAGTTTAAGTGAATCCTATGAATAACGAAAAAAAATGAAAATATCTGACTTAATTCCACAAAATGAATAATTGCATTCGGCTATGTTAGCACTCCCACCCTTTGTTGCAAAGTACTTTTAAAGTGTCAAAATAATGTTATTTTTCATAGATGCTCACATTTTAAAGGACACAGGAGAGATGATATTCTATATGGCTCATTCCATAAATAATTGTTTCGCTGATCACGCTCAAATGTTTGAAATGGGAGTCGGGATGATTTATGAGAGAATGCCATCTCCAGAACACGAATGCTTGGAAGTACGGGCATGCAATTATGATTTCATTGTGACAATGCTGCTACAGTTTGTAACACTGGAGCTGAAATAAACATGCAAGTGAAGAAGGCTGTGTTTGTGTGAGTTTTGTTTAAAGGGGACCTATCATGCAAAATGCACTTTTTTAATGTCTTTTATACATAAATGTTTCCCCGGTGTGTCGAAGAACTCACGCAGCGTCAGAAAATAAAACCCTCTCTCTTTTCCTCTGTACCCAAATCTCTAAAAACGGGGCTACAACGGAGCTGATCCAGATTTGTGGCCCATATCGGAAATGTAGGCTGACTTTACACCCACGGCCCAATCAGAAACATTGCTATCAGAAACAATGCCACATGACTTGGCATGGTTGGGGGAAAACAAAGAGCTGCCACGGCCTCCTCCAGCAGCAGCTTCAGGAGAGACACATATCTCTCAGTCAGGACCTCACTGCTGCCAAGCACTCTTACTGTCAGGAAAATGTGGCAGGGAACAATACACAAAGAAATCATCATCATTTGACATGCAAGAGGTACTCGCCTAAAACCACTCAGAGGCACATTCATACAGAGCCTCGGGTTTAGTATGTTTGCAAATCATTAAAGAGGCCCTGCTTTTTGGGGTGTCCATTTCCCTTTTTGGGCATGAAATAAGTCAGCAAAGGCTAAAATCCCAACATTTAGAGGGAGTTTCTGTCCCAAACCAGAAAACTGCTGCAGCACGGGCAGTATGAGGAACAATAAAGACCTTTTTGAACATTAAAGGGGACCTATCATGCAAAATGCACTTTTTGATGTCTTTTATACATAAATATGTGTCCCCGGTGTGCCAGGGAACTCACGCAGCGTCAGAAAATAAAACCCTCTCTCTTTTCCTCCGTACCCAAATCTCTAAAAACGGGGCTACAACGGAGCTGATCCAGATTTGCGTCCGATATGACGTAATATCAGAAATGTAGGCTGGCTTTACACCCACGGCCCTATCAGAAACGTTGCTCTCAGAAACAATGCCCGACTGTTTTGGACGTAATATGCTCGGTGTTTACATTAGCATCGCTAACACTCAGAGCTAACCTGTACTGGAGAGCATGTGTGTGAAGAAGCAGGAAATAAAAAGGAACTCACCTTGTGGTATAACCGGCAAGAGAGAAAGCCTTTGAGCTCCAAACTGCTTCAGAGAGAATCCTTGATAATCCATGATATGGCGTTTCATCACGGCAGCATTTAGTTTAGACAGTAGCTGCCGGGTCCCGCATGAGCTCAGCCCCCTCTTTTTTTATTTATCAATTATTTTATTTTTTTAAAGCTTTATACCCCAAATCAGCACTTTTGAAACAGGAGGTGAAATAGAGGGATATGAGGCATGGCTAGAATGGGTGATCTGTTTGGTATTTTGAGCAAAACACTTCATACACATGTTTTTTATATATTTGTATATTACTGAGACCTATAATATTGCCTAAAAATAGCAAGAGTCAACTTTAAATAAGAGCTTGCTTTGATAATCTATATTATGTCCTTTCTCACTGATACTGGGGAAAAAATACAACCACCAAGCATTCAACACATCTAGTTAAAAATCACAACCTTTCCAATGCAACTAAATCATACCTTCCACTCACTACTGATGTGTCTCCACATATGCTCAATGCTCATATATTTAAAATAGTTGTAATTTTTGTATGTGTAATCAAGCGCTACTTATCTGTTTTTTGGCAAATGATAAAGGCTCCTATTGAATACAAATGTTACAGTTACTACAGTAAGCCACCAATCAAGATATACCAGCTCGATTGAAGTGGGGTAAATAACGGAGAGACATATTTTAAAACCAGATCTACATGCATAGCTTAAAACCAGTAAGTTGGACGAATATATTTGTGTGGATTTACCCTTTAGTTGATAGTGAATCCTGCAGGAGTTCTTAAGCTCCAGTAGAGGGCGGTATGGTGTCATTTAAAGGTTGACACACAGCAGGCATCACCATCCTCACAAAGACAATGATAACCAGGTATTATGTTTGGATCCACTAAGTCATAATAAGCCCAGAATTGTTGGCTCTGAGTTTATTGTTGTCTCACAACACCTGGCAATATAAAACCCACCTGTTTCTGCTTAAACCTAAAAAAAACAAATGAAGCACCTACAAGATTTTGCCCATTTCAAGCTAAATAAACAGCACTTACGTTGGTATGGTATGGCTTACTTCAAACAGTTGTACCTGCATGTTGTTGCTGTGTGTATCTTTATGGTTTATCGCACTGTAAGTCCCTTTGGAGAAAAGTGTCAGCTCATGCAAGTAAGAATATGGAAAATCTAAATGATTTTTTTCAACATTAAGACCAAAAATGCTCCTCCTCAGACAACTGTTGTTCCCGTGTTGTTTTTACTCTACTGTTTATATGAAGGTGAATACTGTATTTCAAATGTGTTTCCCACACAAGATACAGTATAGCAACAGAAGAACAACACTGATCAGATTGTTTGGAGATGCAGACAGTGGAGAGCTTTATCCAGCGCAGCATGCCTCAGGACACGTACACTTGTGCTGTAAGGCTGATGTCCCTGATGTGTTTAGTTTTCGCCCTTGTCCACGAGCAGGTTGTTTATCTGAAGCGCACAATGAGCGGCCCCTCATCCCATGTCCTCTGTCCCTGTCATACTGTTCTCTAATCACTGTAATCTGAAGTAAACTGTCCCACTACTTGAAATCTTTATCCCACAGATAAGTACACTGGAAAAAGACGCTACTCTCTGTGTGTGTCTGCCTGTCTTCACCCCGTTTATTTTTCCCTCTCTCACACACACACACACACACACACACACACACACACACACACACACACACACACACACACACAACACACACACCACACACACACACACACACACACACACACACACCACACACACACACACACACACACACACACACACACACACACACACACACACTTTTTGCAATCAATGGTAACCATCGGATAAGCAGCAGTGTATCTTCTGATGGGAGAAGAAAGGCAGCTGCGCTACTGGTACCGAAACATGAGGGATCCAGTTACACTACCCAAAGAAGTTTATTCCCATGTGAAAAAGATCAGGGCTGTTTTAAACCCTCCTTATCAACTCCAACAAATTTGTCCGACAGTCACGGCATATTTGAACGCTGACAAAGGCTGTCTTTGTGTTCGGGGTTTGGTTTTCGGCCTCATCTGTGATGGAAATCTTCTTGTTTTTCAAAGCATCATTGGCCACCTTGAAGAGAACAACGACCACACTGCAGCTCACAATCAGACCCCTATAGACAAAGAAGTCTTGATAACAAAGGCTTAAAGGGCGCTATTTTCCTGTAGTGTGTTAAATAGATTTATGAGCATGTAATTAATGGTCTGTAAAGGCTCAAATCCCTGTGTTCCCATCAGAGGGAGTTTCTCTCCAACACACCCCCCCCCATGTTTGAAACGTCTCCATTGGAATACTTTGTTTACTTCGGTAACATAGTGACAACACTAGGTAACACTTGTGCTTCTATTGGCTAGCAGTCATACCTGATAGGCTAAGGGGCAGGACATCTCTAAGTGGTTGTCCAATCACAACAGAGCCAGCCAGCTAACCAATCAGAGCAGACTGGGCTCTGGTTTCAGTCAGAGGGTGAAAAGAGGTGCAGGCAGTATGAGAAAAATAAAAACGGTGTCTTTGATTGTACTTGCTTTATTTCCATATCCCAGTTAATCTTTACATGCAGAATCTATGATCCAAGTATAGAGGAGATTTGGCAGTGAGTTTATACCTTCCTTTTCGCTGCTTTTAGTCATTTACTTTCCAAATCCAGTTGATCCAGGTGGTGCAGAAACAGATTTAGAGACATTCCCCGAGCCAGAGAGCTAAACAGACGGGAGGATGTTGTTTTTAAGTCTTCTGTGTCTGGGAATCAATGTACCGTGTCCCTTTGAGACAGCGGAAGTGCAGGTATTACAATGGCAAGTGCCAAAATAATACTTCTCCTAACCTTCAGCTTCACCCTGCAACAAGCTCCTTTATCAGATGAGCGTGTTCGAGTATGGCTGAGACGCTGAGAGACGCTGAGAGATACTGTCAGATTTTCAATGCCGTCAAAACAGATGCTATCTGCCCTCTTCATGTCTAATTACCTGTTTACGCCAAGGGCCTAGAATGAATGGTGCTGTTGATAAGAACTCACTTTAGTTTAAGGAAATTGTTAAGATTCTAGATTATTTGCTGATGTTTTTTTAGCGTTTACATTCTAAGATGTTGTTGGAGTTTATGGTAACATGTAAGCTCATGTCCATCTCTAGTTTGAAAGGTGAGGGGAATGATCCACACTTAAAAATAGAGTAAGTTGGAGACAGCAATAAGAAAATAAGTTCATGATAATCTGACACTTGTAGAAGTAAAACAAAGTTTCAATGAGGGCGACTACTTCACAAAGTCTAACAGGTTATTGGTCTGAGAGCTCTTCAGTCTCTCTACCATTTCCATCAGTCCTCTGCTCACACTTTGGGTGTGTTACAACACACTTACCCTCCTTAAATATGTTAAACCCTAAATACTGCATGCCATCTTATCAGCTCTACTGAGTCAGCTTGCCAACCTGCATGAAGTTATGATCTGACGGTATTCAGCTTTTGTAGAAATATTTCTCGAGAACTCAAGAGAGCTCTTTAGGAAAATGTATACATGTGTTAGTTAACAGATGCACACTTTGAATTCAGTTTTAAAGGGGACTTCCTTACAAGATACTGTGTTTTTTTAATCTGTAGCGTTTGTTTGAATTGTTTTATATTGTATTGTATGTTTTCGGAAATGTGCACAATATGACTTTGGCCACTTCATGTACTGTAAGAGAGATTGTATCTCATGCGATGCTTAAAATGTAAATATGTAAATATGTCCATCTTTAAAAAGGATCCGGTAGAGTCTGGGGCTCGTGATGACAGTCTTTGTTCAGGACTACTACAGGTAAAGATAAGAAAGTACATCTGCCTGTGATACCTGGGGCAGGGCCGCTCGAGGACATTCTGGCACTCTAAGCTAACGGCTAAATTGCCATGGGAGCAGATAATGGAGATGGTCCACAGCCACAATTAGACAGCCAATGATTGCAGTAGATGATATACCTTGGACCCTTTAGCTTAGACCACATGTGTCAAACTCAAGGCCCGGGGGCCAAATTAGGCCCGTGGTGGATTTAATTTCGGCCCGCAGGATAATGTTTGATTACTATTCGATCTGGCCCGCCGGTATATTGAGGGTTTCCTCAGCTCAGAGCCTGACCCCAAACAATGATGAACTTGCACCCAAGATGAGATGCCAAGTATCTGCTTGAGCTAGCATCACAGAGCAAACTGAGTTTAATGGATGTTTCCTTCTGCACTTTGTTTCTTGAGACAACAGGGAGTGTTTGTTTTTCTCTTTGAGGGAAATTGTTTTTTTGAAGCTGTTGTTGGCCTGTGGAAAAATGTAATCATAAGAAATGACTCTGCAGATAGAGCCATAAGAAATGAATGCAACTGATTATTTAATGTTGTTTTTAAAGGCAATCATTTAAGCTTTGTTAGTTCCAGGTTTAATATGTGCAATGAGTTCATTTCAATAAGTTCTGCAATAAACATTGAACCAGTCGACTAGTACCCATCTTTTTAATTTTGGCCCACTGTGTATTTGAGTTTGACACCCCTGGCTTAGACCCTAGATCTGGCTATTCTAATATTTAAAACTAGACACTTTTTACATCTTATGTTACACTTTTCTGTAAAAAATATTGATGAACTTTAGTTTCTATCAATTGTTGTTTTGGAATTTGACAACATATGCCTGCTGTTTGTGTGGGTTTACCAGCACCACATTTTAAGTGGCAGATTATAATTAAATGCTAGGAAATAAATGTTTTCATCAAGTTTGACAATGGAATATATTGAAATAATTGTCACAATGACTTAAAGAACATTCTGTAGAAATACATATATATTTAATAAAGGTTTTTTCATGAATGTTTATGAATGAGACTCAGATCACCGTCTCTTACCCTCCGTCCGTCCCAAAGTGGCAATCATGTTAACAAACAGGTTTTGTTACAATAATCACATTCTTGAGTCACGTGCTGGCACTTAACATCTTCTGATACAACTTTGAGAAAACACAGTCTGTATTTAAGTAAGACTTTAATCAATACCAAAACTTTGAACTGAATGTGTCATCAACTCAAATGCATTTGTTACTACAGCACACTACTGCTGATTTGAATGCATCTTGATACTGTATGTTACATTTTGAATATCTTTGTATATCTTCTTCTATCTGTTCATGTTGTTCTTTTTTGTTATCTACAGTTTCTCTATCAATTTATCTGTTTAAGGTTTTTAGAGGATCGCAACACAGATATAGTTTATCTTCATATAATCAGGACAGAGGCTCTTAAAAGGAATCAGGTTTCATTTGTTGGCTCTATTTTGCAATACAATCCATAACTCTGTCTTGTCTTGTGTTCTTATGTAGTTTGACTCTATAATCAGAGTTTAAATGCACATCAAAAATGTAAATGACGGTAGCACCAAACACTCAAATCGTCAGTAATATTGTGTTGCTCTTACCGTTTATACCAAAAGAAGCTGCTCCACTACTATATAACTATAACTACAAGTAGTTTTTACATACATATTTAGTTCTATTTATGTGTAAAACTATATTTTATATTATCATTATTTAACAATTGGAGTAAAACGGAGCTTCAGGATTGACTGAAAATATGACTCTATATGACGGATAAGCTAAAGTTCAACTTGTACTTGTCTATAACTTAGGTACTGTAAGTTCAAATAATATGTTGTTTGTATTTCTTAACACTCAGCTTTCAAGTTAAATAAAATGTATCTACATGTATTTAATGATGAATTAACAAACCATTTGCAACTGACAGTAACGACATGTCGATCGCCTCAAGATTGTGTTTAAAACATACAAAATGACAGAATGTGTGTAGGAACAAAATCATTGTAAATGGCACAGTGGTAAACACATGGGTTAAAATCATGCCAAAATAACAACGATCTCATTTTGATAGTGAACATATAGCCTAAATATCAGGGAAACTAAACATAGGTTCATGACTTTAAATCATAGCTTCATGAATCCCCTCCCTTTCACCATAGCGTGGACCCCCAGGGGCCGCTGTAGTCCCACAGGTAGGGTCTGTACTGATAAGCTTTGCAGAAAGAGGTGATGAGAGAAGTTCGGACCAGCTGGTCTCTCAGGCCCAGTCCCTCTGCTTTCTCCCTGCAGAACTCTGATGTTTGCTGCTTTCGTTTCGTCTTGTACCTCCGGTTCTGAAACCAGATTTTGACCTGGGTCTCTGTGAGTCTTAAGGTGCCGGCCAGGTGGGCCCTCTCTGGGGCCGACAGGTATTTCTGCTGGTTGAACTTCTTCTCCAGTTCAAGCACTTGGAGGTGTGTGAAGGCAGCTCTGGAGCGCTTCTGTTTGCCCGTGGAGGAGGGACTGGACTCTGAGGGGCCGGGACAGGATGTGTCCAGACAGTCTGTAGAGGAAAGATGTGATTAAGTCATTAAGGAGGGAAACTACATGTCTGCATGTCAGGCTGTAAAGTGATGGTTCACAGAGAATCTCAGGATCAGCTATATGCAAACCCCTGGACATAAAAAAGACTCTCAATAAACATGTTCTCCTTAAATCCATACATTTATACAACATTTCCACAAATGATCATTATAGCCCTATAATTCCAGCATGTACCATCTTTTAAAACAGTATCCGCCAAATGAAAGTGAAATACCTCTATTCATTACATTACTGCTATGGAAAGTCTGCAGGAGCTCACCTCACCTGTCTGTTCTCCAAACTCCTGATCGCTGAGTTGCTCTGAAAACTTTTCAGCTCCTTCTCTCCACTGAGAACATCTGTCCATCTTCTGTGAACAGTGTTTGCTGTTTAATCTGGTCCTGTCCTTTAAGGAGAGGATGTCCTCTATGAGGAAGGAGGTCAAAGGTTTGCCTGTGTCCGACATTTCCATCCAGTAATCCACAAATCAGAGGCCTCTCTGTGGCAGAGTGTTGAGCGGTGTGTCTCCTCACACTCTCACACCGGCTGAATTTATACAAGCAGGGCGTGTTTACTCTGCTGCCCCGGCAAGAGAAGGAGGCGGGACAAGAGGAGCCAAATACTGCTCTGAGAAACTTTCATTTTCCTCTTCAGACTTCATGGGAATTTCTAAGATTATACAATGATGTCCTATCCAAAGAAAATAGTTGTCATGGATATCGCTTCAACAATTTTCTGATGCAATAAAACCAAAATGCTTAAGTGATGTGCTTTTAATCTAAACAATATGCACATTTTGTCATACATAACTGTAAATTGCCACTTAGGAAATATTTTATCCGGTAGGCTACACTTGATCAAATACCAAACCTAAACTACAGTATAAATAGCATAAATCAACGTATTTTATGATATGCATATAGGTGTCTCTAATATGTAGTCTATCCACGAGATCGACAACATATCAATAACGTCTCTTTGTCAAATGAAACTTAAAAGTGTATTTACTATATGACATGTTTATTATATTGTAGTTTATCCCATATTTACTATGAGCCACTCACATAACATTCTATATAACAGTCGGTTATATAGCAGTGTTCACTATAGACACCCGGGTGCAAATAGCATCTGCCTTTCTATAATCATAAACCAACATCAAACAACTAACAAAATGTGCTAATTTACTATGAGTTAGGGAAACAGTAAATTCAGATGGAGAACATTTTTTTATGTTAGTGTCCAGACAGTAATATTATAAATGGTGGATGGTGTTTAATGTCTCTCTCAAATTACGTTTCATACAATAGTTAAATGGATTTATGTCTCGTCCTTATCTGCTCTAAACTGTTGTCTGCATTTGGTGTGTGTGTGTGTGTGGTCTAGCATTACTATACTTGTGGGGACCTACATCTGTTTACACAGTCACATGTGGGGACTCGCCTCCCTTATGGGGACAAATTGGAGGTCCTCATGAGGGGAATCATTAATTTTAGGGTAAAGACTTGGTTAGGGTTAGGCAGGTGTTGGTTATGGTTAAGGTTAGGATAAGTCTCCAGGAAATGCATGTAAGTCAATGTAATGTCCCCTGAAGTGATGTATACATGGTATGTGTGTGTGTGTGTGTGTGTGTGTGTGTGTGTGTGTGTGTGTGTGTGTGTGTGTGTGTGTGTGTGTGTGTGTGTGTGTGTGTGTGTGTGTGAGTGAGAGAGAGAGTAAAGGGGGGGTCAGAGTGGGTGGTCGTACCTACTGCAGCACTAATGACTTGGACACATTGAGGCCGGCTCCTGAAACAGACACACTCATTGCTCTGTGTTTGTTTATTTGTTGTTCTCCGTGGCTCATCCTGACTTTCTCCAGGGGACAGAGGCGTTTACTGGCAGTGTCCGTGCTCCTCGGGGAGTTCATGCTTCATTTGGAAATGCATGAATGTAGGTATGATAAACATGATCCTCCCTGTGCCCTCTGCCCTGCTGACTCCTCCAGCTTCCTTGGCACCAACCACACACCAAGTCTCCATGTGACTGCTTCAATATGATGAATGTGTGTAACCGGTGTCGTTAAGCAGTCTCTGCGTTGTGTTTTGTGTTGTTCATGGATGACCCGAGCCAGCATACAGTTTTATTACTGACAATCTGACAAAAGATATAACAATCAGTCTTATATTAGCTTTCCCTCACAGTGACTCCTCTCACGTGGAACATTTACAAAAAGGGAAGAGGACACGTGAGGGACACAATATATAGCTTTTGACACTTTTCAGTCACATCTGTTCCACCTTAGGTTGGTGTTAAATTCAGATAAGACAAAAGTCATGTTGTTTTCCAATAAGAAAAAGTTACCAACTGTTCTTCCCTGCATCATGTCTGCACAGCATAACCCCATTGAAGCTGTTAACACCTACAGATACTTAGGCATCACCATAGATGAAAATCTCTGCTTCAAAACCACACATTGACAATCTTTTAAGGAAATTGAAATTAAAGCTGGGATTCTTTTTTTAGAAATAAGGCCTGCTTCTCCACAAGTGCGAGGAAACGGCTTGTAGCTGCCACATTTTTGCCGCTCTTGGACTACGGGGATGTTGTGTACATGAACGCCTCAGCTCACTCCCTTCATCTGCTGGACGCTGTTTACCATGGGGCTCTGAGGTTCATAACCAACTGTAAACCCCTCACACACCACTGCACGCTGTACGCTTTAGTCAACTGGACAACATTATCAATGCGCAGATCACTGCACTGGTACAAACTCATCTATACCGCTATGCTTGGACTGCTGCCCCTCTACATATCCACTTACATATCACACAAACAGTACAGCTATAGACTAAGATCTCAACATTACATCACTCTGTCCGTCCCCTCAGTACGCACGGTGCTTGGGAAAAAAGCCATATCATACTCTGCCCCCTCGACCTGGAACACACTTCAGCAGGAACTTAAGCTGACCAGTTTGATACCCATCACGGATTTTAAACTCATTTTAAAAAAGCTGGAGAAATCATCTGTGGGTATTTGCACCTGCTATATCTGACTGTATATGGATTTTAATGACTACTTTTTTACGATGTTGTATTTTAGTGTTGCCTCTGTGTTTAGTGTCCTGTCTGTCTGTAACTTTGTGTGGTAGTGTTACCACTGACAGGTCTCTCTTGAAAATGAGACCTTGTGTCTCAATGAGATCTACACCTGTATAAATAAAGGCTAAATAAAAAAATAGGGGGGGGAGTCCTCACAACAATAATCTCCTGAGCACAGCGACCACACTTCAGAGGTTCCACCCAGGTATTGAACATTCAATTAAACGATGAAGAACACAGAATTACTTAATATAAAACACAGACTTTGTGTGATTATACAAAATGATTTACAAATAAACCCCACTGCGTATTTACAACTGTTACATGTGCACCAATTCAACCTTCTGAAATCACATTATTTCTCATGTTAAGTGCTTTCTGTGTGTGAGATAGAAATATATGTATTTAAAGCTGCACTGACTCATATTTCCCTGTGCTGTGTTGTGGATCATTACTTTAAAAAGCCGTCTGTTTAAGATCTACTGATGTTCCTCTTAAGCATTAGCTGCTGTCTTGTCAACACATCATTAAGATCCTCCGTACGATACCTTTCACCTTGAATTCTTTGTCTGTGACCGTCTGTCTGCAAAACTATGTTGAGCACAGGAGGCTTTTATCCCTCTGTCTGGGTACAGTTTTTATTCAGATGTATTTAAAACCATTGTGGATTTCCTCACAGTACAGCACAGAAAAGGTTTAAAGCTTCCACATTATATCAACTCTGTGATTCCACTGAAGGTTTAGACGTTTTTCTTTACTGTTTGTCACCTTAATATCACTTCAAAGCTTCATCAGACACATGTTTGGTTGTCATCATACACACAGATGCAGCTCAATGACAGGAGCCAAACAAAGACATCATCCTCTGCCCTTATTCTGAGACAACCCACATGATTGCTCTCAGTTGAAAACGAAGACATGTCCTTCCTATTTATTGTCCCCTGAGCACTCCTTGCACAGATACTCGGCTGCATATTTGAGCACTCAGTAGCACCTCTGACCTTTTAGCCCGGGGAAGGCATTTGTCTTCCGCAGTGTAAACTATGTGGTGATGATGTTTTTCTTTGAGACACCGAAAGTTGTTGTGTCATCAATCTTCCGTTGTGTTGCCGCTGCTTCTTTGTCTGAGAGGACAAGATGCCAGGCGTTGTTGTAACTGTAGATTTGTCACAGTTTTATCAGTGTAGTACAGTACCTGCACCTGGCCTGTTGCACAAGGTCTTCATGCCATGTATTGTCTGGCGTTACAAAGATGTCATCGGATTGTTCGGGGTATTCAGAGCAGAGGTAAGCATGTTAACAGACTTAAGTTCAAACGACTGAATAGATCTGGTACTAATGACTTTATTTACCAACGTTACGTTATGCCAATCATTCTGTACACTGACTTCAATCGATGTGTTAATGTTGTGTATTTATTTATACATATGTCACTGTTGATATGTATATATTTGTTTCTATTAATCATTTTAATTTAATTAATGTGCAATGCTTTGCTTACATGCTGCTCTGGATCAAACCATCTAATCTAATTGAATGGCCATAATTCATTACTTGAGTCACCGATACCGACATGGAGTGACTCAATGATGTGTTTTAATTCAATGTAGCAGCTAAAGGAGCTAACTTTATTGAACTTTTTTACTGCCAGGTGTTAGATAATACATCTTAATTCATTAGTTGATTTCATTTTTCATCAATGAACATAGAAATAAATACAATTTAAAGCTGTCAGATAAATGTAATGGAGTAAAACATACAACTTGTGCCTCCAAATGTTAGTGGAGTAGAAGAATAAAGTAACATGAGATATTAATACTTAAGTAAACTACCTCAACAAATACTTAAGTTCAGTAATTCAGTAAATGTACTTAGATACTTTCCACCACTAAAAGTAACCTGTTGTCACGTGAAGGTGATGTAAGAGTCTTCCACAAGAGGGAGCTTTAAAGCCTAACATCACACAGGCCAGCAGCCACTTCAAACCACAGGGACAAACACACAATGAGAGAATTCACCAGAGGATTAGTGTGAACAGAGTCTGATTATACTCTGTCAAGAGTTCATAACTTTAGTGGTCACAGGATGTTTTGGACAGAGGACCTGATCCTGAGTCTGTGAATCATCTCCATCATAAACACCAGATTATCAGACAGTGAATGCCACCACACAACCAGAGGCATATCTGACTTCCTAAAGCTGACGTAATGCAGCAAGATTTAAACTTTTTAGAGTAAACTATAATGGATGTTTCACTGATGGCCAGATTTACGTCATCCTTTATTCAAACTGACCCTCATCATCTCAGTGTGATCTAACATCTGAATTTATCCTGCTTTCATTCATACATAATCTCTGTCTCTATCTCTCTCTCACACACACACACACACACACACACACACACACACACACACACACACACACACACACACACACACACACCACACACACACACACACACACACACACACACACACACACACACACACACACACACACACACACACAGAGAGAGGGGGGGGCTGTTGATCTCTCAGCTATCAGATGCCCGCTGTGTGCATATCATTAAAGGTGTGTATTTAAAATCACACACCTGAACATTAACTACCTTATTCTCTACATTTCTCCTTTAGAGTTGGCAATGATCCAGGAAATATGTGAAAGTATTTTTTGACGACATTGCCTATTTCCATGACTCTCCTCTCCATGCAGGTTGCAACAGAAACTTTGCACATTTCTGTTCAATGCTACCTCTCTTAAATCAGCGGCACAGCTTTGCCACTTTAAAGTGGACCGATCATGCTATATTTGAATAATATATTGTAGGGCTATACCTATGTAAAACATGTCTGTGAAGTCTTTTTTTCAAAATACCAAACAGATCATGCATTTTAGCCATGCCTCATTTCACTCTATGTGCTCTATTCCAGCCCTGTCTTCACTAGGGCTGATTCTGTGGCAAATGAGCTGCAGCTGACCACGCCCCCTTGCAAAGGAGGGGGGGCGAGGCACGAGCGTCATGTTACCATGCTGTTACCATGCTGTTACCATGCTGTTACCATGCTGTTACCATGCTGTTACCATGCCACGCAACCTCTCATTCTCCTGATAGGTGGAGAGTTGCCCATATAGGCGGAACACCCTGTTTCTGACGTCAGAACAATATCAAATCTGTATCAGTCTGTATCAGCTCCGTTGCAGCCCCGTATTTAGAGATTTGGGTATGGAGGAAAAGAGAGAGGGTTGTGTTTTCTGACACTTGGTGAGTTCCCTGACACACCGGGGACACATATTCATGTATAAAAGACGTACAAAAGTGCATTTTGCATGTTAGGTCCCCTTTAATGTATACGGCATATATTTCATTCTTAGAATATACAGTCATATTCTTATTGTACTTACTTTTTTGTATATTTATATAGCTTGTAAATTCTTGTTTACTATTGTTCTTATACGTTTTAAGATAGTTTTATAGTTAGACATTGGTTCATTTTCTACTCAATGACTCTTATTGTGTGTATTCACCGTTGTACACCAGAGCAAATTCCATATGTACTCTGGCAATAAACCTGATTGTGATTTTGGTTCTAAAATGATTAAAGTTCCTAATTGTAATTACTTTTCCTTGATTTGATTCTGTTCAGAAATGTTTTGCATATCTGTGTTTTTGTGACAGAATGTGATTGATTGAATGTTTCTATAGTTCATGAATAAGAGCATTAACACACACACACACACACACACACACACACACACACACACACACACACACACACACACACACACACACACACACACACACACACACACACACACACACACATACCATGTATACGTCACTTCAGGGGACATTACATTGACTTACATTCATTTCCTGGAGACTTATCCTAACCTTAACCATAACATGCCTAACCCTAACCCTAACCCTAATCCTAAACCTAACCAAGTCTTCACCCTAAAATTAATGATTCCCCTCATGGGGACCTCCAATTTGTCCCCATAAGGGAGGCGAGTCCCCACACGTGACTGTGTAAACATATGTAGGTCCCCACAAGTATAGTAATGCTAGTCCACACACACACACACACACACACACACACACACACACCCCACACACACACACACACCACACACACACACACACACACACACACACACACACACACACACCACACACACACACACACACACACACACTATCTGATGGGTTGAAGTGTCTGGTCTCCTCTCTGTCTGCAGCTTCCTCTTATCTGAGTGGAGAAGCTCCTTCAGCTGCTCTCTGCTGATTCTCCTCCTCAGGCCCTTTAGGTCAGAATCCATTAAGGGTGGAACACCAACACACACTCTTATAGTCTATTCACTTATTATATCATTTGACACATATATAATTATATAATATATACAAATGGCAGGCATGTGTAGCACAAGTCCATCAGGCAAGGTTGATGGACTTGGTAAAAATCCATATATCCATGATTAGAAAAACAAAACTAAAAATGTGCTTTTGGTGTGATGTTTAATTTAAATCCCCTAAAATTACATTGTGGATTTAACTTTTTTTTTTGTACAGGTGCCAAATAATACACTAGTTTGCAGGACTAAGTTAAACAGCATGAATTAAAATAAAACTAAGAACTACTTATTTGCACTGCGAGTGGATTCCTCCCTATCTGCGGCTCATGGGTGAGTGACAGGTCGGACTGGAACTGTTTCCCGTGTGATTGAAAGTTTGAAGAAGTTAAAGAGCCACTGTGTCTGCGGGTTTGTTTACCAAGCAAAGCTCCGGGACAGGACAAGCTCTCCAGCCTTATCAGCGGATTTGTGAATGGGACAATAATGAGGTCAGTTTGATAGAGCAGCCCTGCAGGTCAGATGTCACTTCATCCATTAGCTGTGTGATGGCTCTCTTTGATAACAACACACAGAGGACAGCTCAGCAACCGGCCATTAAAGGGCTTCTAATCAGGTATGTTCACTTTAATTGGAAATTAAGAGGATTACACATTTTAACTGAATTAAGGTATTATTTAGTTAAAATATACACATTAATGACGTTTAAAATACGTTTTAATGTTGTTTTTTGTCAAAGTTGGACAGTATCACCTTCGAAAAATGCAGGCTTATGTTCCATGAAGCGCCAGTAGAATAATAAATATAAATAAATAAAAACACGAATTAAATATTATAACTAAAATAATCTAATAGCAAAACGAAGTTGTGGATTAGTTTAGAAAATAACACGAATTGTATAACCAATATTGTATCACTTTTTATAATCGTAGGAAAATATTAAAGGATATCATATTTTTGATGACAGTAAATATCCACCCATTATTTATTATTATAAGGCTTTTTTAACAACAGAACAATTCCTAAAGATACATAAACAATATATACAAATTCTCCATTGGATTATGCCATAATACACGCCATTTCCCTGCTTTGATCACCAGCCTCTTACACTCTGTAATGAAGCCTGGAAGTGTCCGTGGTTGAAGCCCCCCTCACCTGATAAATCCACTATCTGATTATTATTATTATTATTGCACATCTGTGCGGCTGAGGGTGACACGCTGTGATAGCCGCAGCCGTACACACTGCCGCTGTTTGCGTATCCAAACACGGGGTTATAATGTCCCAGAGTCACGTTATACGGTGCAGAGCTGCAGAGCTTCCCGTCCCGCACCAGCACCGGCACCGACACCCTCCTTCCTGCAGAGGGGAACCCCAGCTCCAGAGACAGGTCCTGCCTTTGCCTCTTGCACTTGTACCTCCTGTTCTGGAACCAGATCTTCACCTGTGTGGAGGTGAGCTTCAGGGCCAGGCTCAGGTGCTCTCTCTCCGGGGCGGACAGGTACCTCTGCTGCCGGAAGCGCCTCTCCAGCTCGGACACCTGGGACTGGGAGAAGAGGACCCGGGGCTTCCTGCGGGGCCGGGATCCGTTCTTCAGGGTTTTCTCACTTTCAGGTGAACTGTCAAGACCGCTTATGTCTGCATATGAGAAAATAAAACAGTCAAATAGGCTAAAGAAAAAACAAACAGCTAAATGCTAAATATCTTTAACATTTTGTTTCCAAAAAAAGTACACGTTATCTCATCATCAAATATAAATATTGAAAGACTTAATATGTTTCCAATTTTATTATTTTTAAATTGAACATATGTTGATGGAGCAAGATGTTTTTTTTGTTCAAGTCCATGTTTTTTTTTACACAATAACAAACTATTGCAAGAGACGACCCTGTACACATCATCGTCATGATACCTGCAGTATATTTTACAGTATATAATAATGTTTATTCTTTCCACATTTTAACCAAAAAAACATTTACTTGTGCCACAGCAAAGTCAAAAACAACACATGGCATTAAGTAAACGTTAGTAAATAAGTGAATTCGATTATTTGAACGTGTCAAAGACGACATCTTATGGTTAAACTAAGTTTAAAACAATACATATTACATATTTATGTATCACACTGTTCATGAGTTAATTACGAACCTGTGAAAATTATAAAAAACAACACTTCTGTGCCCATTTTCTATTAAAACGGTTCATCCATGATTAAATATAAAGCTTGTCATACATGATTACAATGAATAAAGGTAATAATAAAATCAATCATTGCCTGCTCATAAATTGAGTTGATCACTTGATATTCTTGGCGAATATTGCAACTACGTAAATGTCTTTTTTAGGTAAATCTGTGTTTGTTAAAAGATACATTCTTCTCAGTAATTTTGTTTATACATTTAGAGGTTTTAAGAAAAATAAAAACGTGACAGGTAGTTTCATCCCTGCTATTACGCACTAAAGGCCGCGCACGCCCCTCGGCCTGAACAACACTGAGTAGCCTACCATCAGAGAGTAGATACTTTATATATATATATATATATATATATATATGTATGTAAACACTGTTATATAACTTGTAGAGTAATCTCACCCTGCTCATGTATCTCCTCTTCTGCTGCTGAGTTGTGAATATGGAGCTTCTTCTGCATCCCGGAGACGCACTGCTCAGCCTGGCAGTCATAAAGGTCCCTGGGCCGGGACACGTGCTGATAATTCATCGGAACAACTTGATCAGTAATCAAAAAATCATTTTCGAAATCGTGGTGGTGCTCCAGCTTCAGAATATCCTTCACTGAGAAAGGCGTCGTGGTCGTTAAACTGAGATGCATCCCAACCAATGCCATTGTGTCAGGCTGAAGGACTGTCAGGTCGTTTTTACGCACGGTGCTCTATATCTGCTGGTGATGCTGCCGGAGGTATCTCTTCACTGACTGATGAGTGAGGGCCATGGGGAGATTTAAATCTTTCAAGGGTCCGGCTAAAGAGGAAGGTAGAGATAGATCTGTCACCTCTCCAAAACACTGGACAACACCCACCCTGCGCACAGTTCCTTTTCTTCTCACCTTACAGGAACACCTCACATTATTACATTTCATTTATCTGACCCTGCTATTTCAAGCAACTTATGGTACATTCAAGCATGAAGGAACACATTCAAAAAAGGAAAAATCCTGCAAACTATTTTTTTTAAATAACCCAGACTTTGTGAAAAGGTGAAACAAATTGATAATTCTGAAGTAAGTTGACGAGTTTTATATTGCAGTCTGTCTTTTTCCAATACTTTTGGAGTTTTACAACTAGTTTAAAATGTTGTTTAACAGTTAAAGTGTCGTAGGGAAGGTGTTGCTCTATGACATTTTTAAATGGGAATATTAAAAAAAAATCAACATTTAACCCTTTTCATGGATTTGAAACACTTTGACAGGAATGGTTGAGCTTAAATGTGTTGAAAAAGACGTTTCTAGATTATTAGAAACAACTGTCTCATAATCAACCTGTTTTAAAAAAGAAAGGGGGCGGGGGGGAGGGCGGATTATTCAGTACTAAAGCACTGGGAATAATTTGAAAGAAAAAACCGTACACTTTTGAGGATTGGATTTGAGACATAAACATTTGGTGCGTAAATGTGTTGAAACAAAAGTGTTGCCTCATTAGAAACAAGTGAAACTGTCCCAGAATAATAAACCTGTTTAAAAAGAAAGGAGGGGGGTTCATTTATTCAGTGTGCACCCAAACCACGCTTCTGGTCAGCCAAGTAAAGCCACTTAATCTACACACAGGTCCTCGGGGGTTGAGTGATCTTAGGTGATGTCGAACAGCTTTGCCATCAACATTGTTTCCCTGCCGCGTTATTAGTGTTCCCAGGCCACAACAAACAGTAACTTTACACCTGATGTTGTGGAAGTGGAGAGGCGGCGGCGCCAGCCTGCGATGCTTCACTGAGGCTGAGACGCGCGTCCCGAGCAGACAGGAACCAGGACAGACCGGCCTGTCCCACTGGGCCACGCTGGGAGATATATGGAGGGCACTTATAGGCCTGAGCAGGAGCCTTTTAAAGAGTGATTGAAACTGTTGATGGGTTAGTTAGGAAAATCAGAGGAATAGCAGATGGCTTGGTAGGTGGTAACACTATAGGGTTATACACAAAACTGCATTTGTGGAATGAAACAAAGATTGTCAACAAGTGTCATTTATGGGACATGCCCCCAACACTTTATACAATGACAGATTTAGTCCCTATTGCTTTTTAAAAATGTATGGATTGTAAAATAAATGTTCTGAAATTAAATGTCCATTAAGAAATCTTAACCAACAAATGAAAAAAGCTGCAGGAAGGTTTATTTGCACAATAAAAAAACACAACATTAATATAAATATAAAATAATTTAATGTGCATTGTCATCAACTGAAAACAATCTCCCCCTATCCAACTCATTATAAATTGAGCAAAAATAATTTATTGACAAAGTTCCCCCCGATCTTGGTATTTATCTACTTTGATCTTAAAATAAAGGCTGTGTCTGAAACAAAATCTACCCACTGCTGTATCTCAGACTGTTTAAACTGTACCTGTGATTTAAGCCACATCAGTAAATCCTGCGTTGTGCTGTATTAATCCCATCACTGCCACTAGAGGTCACTGTTACTGAGGTTAAACTCCTAAGGCCTTTATAATTGTATGAGGAAGCTGTTGCAACTCGCGTTTGTTTAACAATTGTTTCCCACCACGTATTAGGGTTAGATATTTGTTTGCACAGACAATTCATGGCGAATCTGTAGAAGAATGACAGAAGCAAGTGTTGCGTTTTAAAAACCTTTTTTTGGATGGTTTCATGTCTGCAGGTAAGCTTAAAGGTCACCTATCATGCTATTTTGAGGCAATAGCATAGGTCTCAGATATATAAAAAATAAATAAAAAACATGTCTATGAAGTGTTTTGGTCAAAAGACCAAACAGATCACTTCTAGCCATGCCCTCATATCCCTCTATTTCACTTCCTGTTACAAAAGTGCTGATTCTGGGTATACACAGGTCTCTCTTGAGAATGAGACCCTGTGTCTCAATGAGATTTTCTACTGTATAAATAAAGGCAAAAAAAAATGCCGGCTCATGCGGGACCTGGCAGATGTCTAAAATGCTTCGGTGATGAAACGCAAGGATTATTAGATCAAGGATTATCTCTGAAACAGTATGGAGCTCAAAGCCTTTCTCTCTTGCCGGTTATACCACAAGGTGAGTTCCTTTTTATTTCCTGCTTCTTCACACACATGCTCTCTCAGGTTAGCTCTGAGTGTTAGCGATGCTAATGTAAACACCGACCATATTACGTCAAAAACAGTCGGGCATTGTTTCCGATAGCAACGTTTCTGATAGTGCTGTGGGTCCGCCGACGATATTACGCCATATTGGCCGCAAATCTGGATCAGCTCCATTGTTCCCCCGTTTTTAGAGATTTGGGTACGGAGGAAAAGAGAGAGGGTTTTATTTTCTGACGCTGGGTGAGTTCCCCGACACACCGGGGACACATGTTGATGTATAAAAGACATCAAAAAGTGCATTTTGCATGATAGGTCCCCTTTAACTAATGTTTACTCTCGATGCCAGGTGTTGGCCCGTCGACTGTAACAAACTATTCTAACTTGTTTAGCGCAACACAAGTGTCTTAAATAAGTCCAGTTTGTTAGCTGTATAATGAGGTACAGATATATTAACCAGCATCTAGTACTAAAAACATACCTGTGCTCCCCAATTCCCAGGGTCCGCTGTCAAATCCCTCCCGGGGAATCAAACACCTTATCATTGTTCTGGGAGGGTTACATTGAGTAGGATGGAGCAGGGGTGGTAAATGTATGTGTACCATGACAGGAATGTCATCCTCAGCTAAACCTATTGTGACGAACAATGAATTTTGTTTTGCTAACGAACTAAACACGTTCTTTACCCGTTTCGAGTCACTGGATAATTCTGCAAAGTGCACTGAAATGCTCGAAACCATAATACCTGCTTCCTCTGACAAAATTACAATCAGTGTCGAAGAGGTCAGAAAAACATTTCAGTACTCCAACACCAAGAAAGCGGCTGGGGTTTTCTGCTGAACAACTTTGCTACTGAGCTGGCTCCAGTGTGGCAACCCATCTTTCAGGCTTCTATTGACACACCATCCCTCTGTCATGGAAAACTTCACACATCAAACCGCTGCCCAAAATTCCATGCCCAAAAGAACATAAGGACTACAGACCAATAGCCCTCACATCAGTGATTATGAAATCACTAGACAGAATTCTGCTCCGATTTCTTATCAGTACAACACAAGACAAACTGGATCCATACCAATTTGCCTATAAACAAGGGTGCGGTACGGAAGATGCTGTGGTTCACATCATCACTAAACATTTAGATAAACGCAACACCTATGCAAGAGCCCTCTTCCTAGACTTCTCATTAGCATTCAACACAATACAAGCAGACATCTTGGTGTCAAAAATGGCCAAAATGGAAGTAAATCCATACCTGATTTACTGGTATGCTGCTTTCCTCACTAGTAGAGAGCAACTTGTGAAGGTTAACAAAACCCTGTCATCTGCCATCACAACCAATGTAGGTCCCCCCCCCCCAGGGCTGCGTGAGTTCAGCTGTGCTCTTTACTCTCTACACTGATGATTGTCGTACCAACACACCAAATCAAGTCATCATTAAGTACTCTGATGATACTGCAATAAATCTCTGCTCAGTGCTCAGTAACACAGACGACCCTGAGCTGCACCAACAGGCTGTACATCAGGTGGTCGAGTGGACTGATAGCAATGCTCTTGAGATCAACACCAGGAAAACTGAGGAAATCATTTTTGGCTCACCATCTGACTCCCATAAAGTCCCCATTGTCATCCATACAGATGAAATCAAGCAGGGAGTTTCATACAAATACTTGGGTGTAATGATTGACCAGCTGCTGTCATGGAAGGATCACATTGAATATCTGAGCAAAAGGACAAAACAAAGAATTTATTTTCTCCGCCGTCTTAGGTCTTTTGGGGCGAGCAGAGAAATTCTTCTGTTGTTCTTTACATCTGTGATCATGTCCATTCTTCAGTACTGCAATACTACCTGGTACAAGTGTTTGACATTAGCTTTAAAATCAAAACTGCTCCACCTGTTAAAAATCTGCTCAAAGATTGTTGGTCAACCCTGTCAGAGACTCTATGACTCAGCCTATCATACACTGAACAAAAATATAAATGCAACACTTTTGTTTTTGAACTCAAAGATCTAAAACATTTTCTATATACACAAAATAACCATTTCTCTCAAATATTGTTCACAAATCTGAAAAAATGTGTGATAGTGAGCACTTCTCCTTTGCCGAGATAATCCATCCCACCTCACAGGTATGGCATATCAAGATGCTGATTATACGATACGATATACTTTATTGTCCCCGTAAGGAAATGTGTTCTGGACTCCGTCCTGCAGTTCAGCATACATGTACATATACAAACATAGTGGACATTAAGAGACATACACATATCATCAGTCATACACCGTTTGAACAAACACAATACACAGACGCACATACTGACAATGGCGACCAATTGCACTACCCCTCATGGCCAACATTTAAAAAGTACATTTCATTACATTTGACTACATTTCATTTCATGTGAATGTTAAGAAGATTAGACAGCATGATTATTGCACAGGTGTGCCTTAGGCTGGCCACAATAAAAGGCCACTCTAAAATGTTCAGTTTTATCACACAGCACAATGCCACAGATGTCGCAAGTTTTGAGGGAGCGTCCACCAGAGCTGTTGCCCGTGAATTGAATGTTCATTTCTCTGCCATAAGCCGTCTTCAAAGGCGTTTCAGATAATTTGGCAGTACATCCAACCGGCCTCACAACCGCAGACCACGTGTAACCACACCAGCCCAGGACCTCCAC